CTCACAACAGAACGCCTTGACAACCTTGATAGAGCTAGAAGTCTACCCTCTATTTACACACCATCTAGGTCGCCCTCCTTGATTGGAGATGAATTGGGCCATAATGAGGTTCACCCCCGTGCCCCTTACCAGCCCCAGCAACCTAGGCAGGACCGATACCTACCCCGTGGTCCAGAAAATGCGTTCAGTCATCAGGCTCATCGTATGCATAAAGGACACCCTCATGGCCCCCACCATGCCCATCAAGCTAGGCAGAACCATGAGTACCACATGTGTGATCCGAATGCTCCCATCTTAAAGAACATCAGGATAGATGCCCCTACCTTTGATGGTATCCTTGATCCTTAGATCTTCCTTGATTGCATCAAAGGCATAGATAACTTCTTCAAGTGGTACAACATCTTAGAGGAGCGCAAAATTAGATTTGTGGAGATGAAATTGATTGGTTGGGCCAGTCAGTATTGCACCAACTTAGAAAACCTTAGGGAGTCTTGTGGTGACTAACCCATTATCGACTAGAGAACCATGAAGTGTGAGCTTAGGCAAAAGTACCTCCCACCCTCCTTTTTCCCCTGACTCTTAGATCGATGGAATAGACTGACTCTGGGTAGCAAATCAGTGAGGGACAATATTTTTGCATTTGATGACTTCATGATTCGATCAAATGCAGTGGGAGATGACCACCACACCTGCCCAGATTCTATCCATGTTTCGTGTTGGGTTGCATGTGGATCTCCACAACAAATTTTTGCTAGAAACATCACTACCCTAGAAAGTGCCAAAAGTTTGGTACTTGACCATGAGAAGTCTAAACCTCAACATCCTACCCATCACCAGGATGTCAAATCCTCTTTTATACCCTCTGGGAGCTCGGGCCCCTATACCTCTACCTCTAGGCCACCTCCTAGCCCTGCTAGTTGAACCCTTGTTGGTTCACCCCAACTCCGTCCTGACAATAAGGGAAAGTCTCCAGTCCTTCACCTAGGACCCACCCAGGGACTAAGTGCTTTAGATGACAAGGCTATGGCCATATTGCCTCTCAATGTTCTAGCCTTCATAAGGTCATTATTATTGAGGAGATCAAAGTTTAAAATTGCGTAAATAAGCCTCGAGGCATTTTCGTCCATGAGGCGAGGCGTAAGCCTTGAGGCGGTGCGAGGCTTAAGCCACACGGACGAAGAATTGCGTAAATGAGAATTTAAGAGTTTTAGCAGGTAAATAATAGTAAGATTGTATCATAAAGTAAAAATATCTAAATGACAAGTGAAATTAGTGGAAAATAACAAAATAAATGCAATATATGCATCGCATAGTATAATTCAAAGTACAAAACCACAAAATATAAGTCTATCAAAACTCCTAAAGTATAAATAACAAAGAACATATTAAATCAAATCATGTCCCATCACTAAATAAGTCTTCAAGGGAATCTTCTTCTCCAATTGTATCTATGAATGTCATATCTTCATCATCTTCAATTTTACTCAATTTTCTCTTCCTTGTTGAATAAAAATGATTATTGTCATGTTTATTGCTCACTTGATATATATATATATATAATAGCACATAAGAAGTTGTGGAATATCTTTAGTTGCTTGTTGTGCTACAGAACTAGTGGATGTGTCCACTTGATCTGCCTTACCCCTCAAGACGTCCACACTTAGATCCTCTAGTTGCAGGTCTGATAATGACAAATCTGTCTCATCATCTATGAATCACTCATTATCAGATGCCACATCATCACACACCAATGAGTCCTCATCATCCTCCAACCCCTTGTTCCTCAACCTCCTATCACTCAATCTCTTGTTGTGCATAATATGCACAAGGGAGTTTATTTTAAGTGTTGAAAATCAATTTATTCTCTTCATTTGCACTTGACTATATATACTCCAGTTTCGCTCACACCTAGAGGAAGAACAAGTGAGGCACAAAACTCTAACAGCAAAACTCTATAACTCAGGGGTGGAATCACCAAATTGGATCCACCATTAAACTATTTTCAAGAAGAAAAATTATAATCAAAAGATATTAAAGTGTTATGGATGTACAGATACTTTGCAAAAATATGTATACCTAGAGACCGTTTAGCAATAGTAGATATTGCTGCTTGCAAACCAAAAAATCCCTCCCTATTTTGAAATAGAACAAGTTCTAAATCTGCTAGCTCTCTAACGGTCTGGTCCGGTATTAGTCGGTCCATGCAATGATATAAGCCAAGCTTCACCTCCGGATTTGAGGATTTCCTCTCTGAATATTAAAATTGAGGATTGAGATAATATGCCGCTGCATGTAGATGACAGTATAATTGGACCTTCCACCGAGCATCAATCATATCTCAAATCTCTTTATAACTTACCTCCTCTCCTCCCAAGTTATATGCAATCAACTCATTTTGTTATTACATTTGTACCAAGGGTCTCATGCTCAATATGGCATTAGTCACACAAGCCCAAAATTTATCATTTAGAATTAGCCTTCGTATTTCCTTCCCCTCAGGTTTCTTCCCTCACGCAGAATTAAACCATTGTATCGATGTAAACATTACTTCAAGAGGTTGTCTCACATCCAGCATGCTCTGCAGTGTCAAATAAGAGGTAGCAAACCAGTAGAATAAACTTGCATTAGGATTTGCAGTGCACAAATGTAATAACGAACATAATGGTAGCAGGATGAATGATTTCTTTCTTTCAAAACTTTCTCATTAAGGCTATGGCCCATGAGTGGTTGTAGATGAACTTTGTGATCTTCTTCGCCCTAGAAAGGGCGCTCTTCTGTTGAGGTAAATCACCAAGTTCCTACAATATGAGATCGATACAGTGTGCTGCGCAGGGGGTCCAATAGAGATGTTTTCTCTTCTCCATCAACATCTGATCAGCTGCTTTGTATGTACTAGCATTGTCAGTCACCACCAGAACAACCAATTGCTCCCCAATCTCCTCAACAACACCATCTAGTAAATTGAAAATGAATTCAGCATTTTTAACCTCATATAAAGCTTCAACTGGTCGTAAAAGTACTGTGTCGTAGGGATTGTTTACAAGAATATTAATCAATCTCCTACTCTTCATGTCAGACTATCCATCTGACATAATGGTAACACCAATCTGACTCCATGTCTGTTTAATCTCATCAATACTCTGCTGTGTTCTGCAGCTCATTCAAAATCCATGTTCGCAACTCGTACATGGAAGGTGCCTTCAATCCTCTCCCATACAATCCTACAGACCACAACATATTGAAGTAGGCCAGCGATGTCGCAACATTAAATGGTATGTCATTCTCAAAAAAAAATCTATCAATATTCATGCAAATCTGACGTCGACCCTCTCTGGTACCAGCCGCAAGCATCATCTGTGCTTGTCCTCTATCCTCTCATAGATTACTCATATACTGGTCCATAGGACCCCGTCCACCTCCATTATGTATAGTGGAGTAAGAGCCCTTTCCACTCTCGCTCCCGAAGCACCATGTTCGACCCTTTCATCAAATTGCTCTTATTGTAAATGTTTAGTCGTGGTATGCTTTTTCATATAAGTTGTAATTTCCTCCGTCACCTTATCTGGAACATTCGCACAAGGTGCTACATTCTTATGTGAGTCGGATAAGTGTTCCTTCATGCGAGTAACTCCTCCCTTCACCACCTTATCACAAAAATTGCATTTTAAATACACATATGTCTTCTCGCCGCTTCCTACATCAACTTGCACACTGTATTTCCAAAAAGGGTCACGCCGCAATGACGTATTTGTCTTTTCCTTGCCACTAACCATGTTTCTAATGCACAAATGCAAAAATAAATAAAAAATCTCAAAAATAAAAAGCCCTAGATTTTCTTTCACTTGAAAAATCTTTCGTTGAACTAAAAAAATTACCTAAAATCGATAGTGGAGTTCTCATAGAGGGCAGCCAGACACTTCAAGATCGCCGGAGTGAGGCGGTGTCGACGGGAGAGGCGGCGGTAAGGGAGGCCGAGCGGAGGTCGTGCGGCTTTTTTTGTCCGCTCGGTTTCGTGTAGGCGAAAATATGAGAGGGGAGGAAGAAAGCTTAATTCATTTAGACCTTAAGTGTGTAGGTCCCGGTTACAAGAGGCGTGCGCCTCACACTAAATTGCACAATTCAGCCTCACCTCACAATGACAGAGGCGTACGCCTCATGAAGAACCAAAAAGGCTTAAGCAATGAGGCTATTCGGGCCAGAATTGCACAGAGGCGCCTTGAGGCGCGCCTCCAACTGCATAATTTTAAACTATGGAGGAGATTACTGAAGATCTCTGTTTAAAATTGCGCAATAAGAGGCGCGCCTCTCTGTTTAAAATTGCGCAATAAGAGGCGCGCCTTGAGGCACGCCTCTGCGCAATTCTTGCAAAAAACGCCTCGAGGCGTGCGCAATTGATGGCAATGGTGAGGCGTACGCCTCACATTGGCTGAGGCGCGCCTCTGTTGCGCAATTGCGCAATTTTGAGAGAGGCGTACGCCTCAGCCAAAAGGGCCCACCTACTTAAAATGACTCCTCCCTTTCCCCCACACCCTATCGGCTCACCTGCTTCCCGATTCTTTCCGCCTGTAAGCTCCAGATCTCGAAAACCTGAGGCTCCCGTCTGGTCGGCCAACCTTCCCGCCGCCTTGTAGGAGAAGTCCAAAAAGGTTTTTAGGTTTTTTTTTTTTACTTTTTGGTTAGATTTTTGAAGTGAAAGAAATTTTAGGGTTTTAGATTTTTGGAAATTTTTTGTGTGATTTTCGATTCTTTCATTAGGGATCATGGTAAGAGGCAAGGAAAAGGGGTCTTCGTCATTGCGGAGGGATCCTTCTTGGAAATATAGTGTACAAGTTGACATTGGCGGCGGAGAGAAGAGCTATGTCTATTTAAAATGCAATTTTTGTGAGAAAGTGGTGAAGGGCGGAGTAACCCGCATGAAGGAGCACTTATAATGCTCTCACAAGAATGTAGCATCGTGTGCAAAAGTGCCGGACAATGTGAAGGAAGAAATAAGTTCTTACATGAAGAAAAGTACCACTGCTAAACACTTACAACAGGAGCAATTTGATGAAAGGGTCGAGCATGGTACTTATTTTGGGAGCGAGAGTGGAAAGGGCTCTTCCTCCACTATACATAGTAGAGGTGCACGGGGTCCTATGGATCAGTATATGACTACTCCAGGAGCGGATAGAGGAGAAGCAGAGATGATCCCTGCAGCTGGTACTAGAGAGGGTCGGCGACAGGTGTGCATGGACATTGGGAGGTTTTTTTTGAGAATGCAATATCATTTAATGTTGCTACATCGCCTGCCTACTTCAGTATGTTGCGGTCTGTGGGATTGTATGGAAGAGGGTTGAAGGCACCTTCCATGTATGAGTTGCGAACATGGATTTTAAATGAGTAGCTGCAGAACACAGAGCGGAGCATTCAGGAGATTAAAAAGACATGGATTGAGACTGGTGTGACTATTATGTCAGATGGATGGTCTGACATGAAGAGCAGGAGCTTGATTAACATCCTTGTCAACAATCCCTACGGCACGGTTTTTACGATCAGAGGAGGTGAAAAATGCTACATTCATTTTCAATTTACTTGATGGGGTTATTGAGGAGATTGGGGAGCAATTGGTTGTCCAGGTAGTGACTGATAATGCCAGTGCATACAAAGCAGTTGGTCAGATGTTAATGGAGAAGAGGACACACCTATATTGGACACCCTGCGCAGCACATTGTATCGATCTCATTTTGGAGGATCTTGGTGACTTACCTCAGCACAAGAGTGCACTTTCTAGGGCGAAGAAGATTACGAAGTTCATCTACAATCACTCTTGGGTCTTAAGCTTGATGAGAAAGTTTTCAAAGAAAGAAATCATTCGCCCTGCAACCACTAGGTATGTTCTTAATTTTGTACATTGCAAATCATTCCTACGAATCCTACTGTATGTTCATAGTTCTTACATTTGTGCACTGTGAATCTATAGGTTTGCCACCTCCTATTTGACACTGCAGAGCTTGATGGAGGTGAGGCAACCTTTGGAAGCAATGTTTACATCTACTGAATGGCTAAATTCTACTTGGGGGAAGAAAAGTGAGGGGAAGGAAATAAGAAAGATAATTCTAAATGATAAATTTTGGGCTACTGTAACCTATGCCATTTTGAGCACGAGACCCTTAGTGCAAGTTCTACGCTTAGTGGATGCAGAGAAAAAATCAGCTATGGGTTTTATTTATAATGCTATGGATGAGGCCAAGGAGATGATTGCACACAACTTGGGAGGAGAGGAGGCAAGTTATAGGGAGATTTGGGATATCGTTGATGCTCGGTGGGAGGTGCAGTTACACCGTGATTATATTTTTTCTTGAAAACAGTTGAATGGTGGATCCAATTTGGTGATTCCACCCCTGAGTTACAGAGTTTTGCTGTAAGAGTGTTGGGCCTCACTTGTTCTTCTTCTGGGTGTGAGCGAAACTGGAGTACATATAGCCAAGTGCAAACAAAGAGAAGAAATCGGCTATCAACACTCAGAATGAACTCTCTGGTATATATTATGCACAACAAGAGGTTGAGAGAGAGTAGGTTGAGGAATAAGGGGTTGAAAGATGATGAGGACCCATTAGTGTGTGATGATGTGTCGTCTAATAATGAGTGGTTCATAGATGATGAGACAGATTTGCCATTATCAGACTTACAGTTAGAAGATCTAAGTGTGGATGTCTTGAGGGGCGAAGCAGATCAAGTTGGCACATCCACTAGTACTGCAGTTGGCACATCCACTAGCTCTGCAGCACAACAATCAAGTAATGGTATTCCACAACTTCTTATATGCTATTACATTACATTTATGTCAAGTGAGCAATGAACATGAATACATGATAATGATCTTTTATCTTAATGAACAGGGAAAAGAAAAGTGAGTCATGTTGAAGATGAAGATTACATGGCATTCATAGATACAATTGGAGAAGAAGATTCACTTGAAGACCCATTTAGTGATGGGATATGATTTCATTTTATATGTTTTTTGTATTTTGGGAGTTTTGTTAAACTAGTATTTTATGATTTTGTACTTTGGGATATGATTTTATTGCATCTACATTCTTATTTTCCACTACTGCTATTATTTTCTTGCTTAAACCCTTAATTTTTCATTTACGCAATTCTGTGTTCGTAAGGCTTACGCCTCAGACCGCCTCGAGGCTTACGCCTCGCCTCACGGACGAAAACCGCCTCGAGGCGCAGTTACGCAATTTTAAACCTTGCTGAAGATGACCCTAAGCCTGAGGCTGACCTCATTCACCACTGAAGGCAAATTCTTTGATGAGGATGATGATGATATTGATGTCATCTATTGCATCCAGAATGGGACCCTTCTGCCTTATATTTGGTGAGATGTGCACCGTCACACCCCCGATTGTTTGATGACTACCGTAGTACTTCCATTTTTCACATCTAGACCATGCTGAAAGATAATAATTGCAAATTTATCATCGATAACGATAGTTGCATTAATGTTGTCTTCTCCAACATGGTGACCCGCCTAGCCTAGTCTTTTGTTCCCCACTCATGTCCATATAAGGTAGCTTAGGACAACTCCATTGCCTTGGAAGTGAAGGAACGAAGCCTCATACTCATATTTTTTTATGATTATAAGAAGAATGTTTGGTGTAATATCCTCATTATGGATGTGGGTCAGGTTATCTTGGGCCACCCTTGGCTTTTTGATAAAGATGTCCACATTTGTGATCGTTCAAACATCTGTGTGTTTGAATATGGTGGCAAGAAGATCAAGTTCTTTCGTAGTCAGCCAAAGTCCAAGGATGAACGTAAATCCAATTCTGTGAAACCTAGTAAAGGGCTCGACCTTGTATCTGCCAATATTATTGATTCCTGTGTGGCCCAAGGCGCACCCCTTTATACCCTAGTTGTTTGTGAGGTTACTAAGGAGCCTCATAGAACCATTCCTCAAAAAGTCCAGCCCATCCTTCTGGACTTTTCTGATATTTTTCCTGAGGACCTTCCTAACCAGTTACCACCTTTGAGGGATATACAACATGCCATTGACCTTGCACAAGGTGTTTCCCTCCCTAACTTGCCTTATTACCGTATAAATCCTATTGAGTATGCTAAGCTCAAAAGGCAGGTGGATAAACTCCTACAGTAGGGTTTCATCAAAGAAAGTATAAGTCCTTGTGTCGTATCAGCACTTCTTACCCCAAGAAGGATGATACATGGAGGATGTTTGATGATAGCCGTGCTATCAACGAAATCACTGTCAAGTATCATTTCCATATCCCTAGATTGGATGACATGTTGGATATGATGTTTGGAGCCACTCTATTCTCTAAAATTGATCTTAAGAGTGGATACCACCATATCAAGATTCGTCCTGGGGATGAGTGGAAGACAGCTTTCAAGACCAAGGATAGTCTTTATGAGTGGTTTTTCATGCCATTTGAGTTGAATAATGCCCTGAGTACTTACATGAGAGTCATGATCCAGGTGTTAAAACTCTACATGGGTAAGTTTGTTGTCATCTATTTCGATGACGTTCTTATCTATAGTCGATCTGTCAACCATCACTCAGACAATCTCAGTCAAGTATGCGAGGTTCTGAGGAAGAAACAACTATATGTTAATTCTAAGAAGTGCATCTTCCTCACTGACCAGGTTGTGTTTTTAGGTTTCATAGTTTCAGCCCGAGGGGTCTCTGTTGACACCAAGAAGGTGAAAGCCATAGCTGAATGACCCATTCCCAGGAACATTCGGGAAGTTAGGAGCTTCCATGGCTTAGCTACTCTTTACAGGAGGTTCATTAAGAACTTCAGCTCCATTGTCTCCCCCATTACCAATTATCTGAAAAATGGGGAATTCCAATGGTCTGTGGCTGCCACCAGAGCCTTTGATGAGATTAAACAAAAGATGGTGGAAGCCCAAATATTGAGACTTCCTGACTTCTCCAAAGTCTTTGAAGTGTCATGTGATGTTTCAGGAATTGGTATTGGAGGAGTTCTATCCCAAAATGGTCACCCTGTGGCCTATTTTAGTGAGAAGCTAAATGAAATTCGTCAGCAGTACTCCATATATGACAAGGAGTTTAATGTTGTAGTTCAATCCCTGAGATATTGGCGACACTATTTGTTATTGTAAGAGTTCGTCATCTTCTCTGATCATGAAGCTCTTTGTTATATAAACTCCTAAAAGAACCTGAATACCTGCCATGGAAAATGGGTTGAATTCCTTTAGGAATACACCTATACCCTTAGGCATAAGGCTGGAGTTGAGAACAAAGTTGCTAATGCCCTTAGTCATTGTATAATGACTTTTGTCGAGATGAGGGCAGAAGACACTGGATTTGAGCAGTTGAAGGAAGAATATTTAGAGTAACTTGACTTCAAGGAGATTTACTCCATCCTCTCCTCAGGCCCTGAGTGCACTATTAAAGATTATCTAATTGAGGATGGGTATCTATTTAGATCCCATAAGCTCTTCATCTCGTGCACCTCCCTTAAGGAATTTCAAGTTTGGGAGCTCCATGCGAGTGGTTTTGCTAGCCACTTTGGTTATGATAAGACCATAGAGGTTGTAGAGTATCATTTCTTTTAGCCTAGCCTGAAGAGAGATGTTGCTAGGTTGGTTAGTTGGTGCTACACCAGCCAACTTGCCGAGCAAAGGAAGCAAAACACTAGCCTGCATACATCTCTACCCGTCCCTAGTTGCCATTGGCAGGATGTCAGTATGGATTTTGTCTTAGACCTGCCAAAGACTATTCATAGGAATGATGTCATTTGTGTCGTAGTAGATAGATTCTCCAAGATAGCTCACTTATTACCCTGTTCTAAGACAACCGTTGCCTCAGTTATTGACAAGCTTTATTACAATGAGGTAGTTAGACTACATGGGTTACCCAAAACCATAGTGTCTAACAGGGAGGTCAAATTCACAAGTTATTTCTGGAAAACCTTATGGCTGAAAATGGGTACAAAACTTCAATTCTTCACAGCTTTTCACCACCATATTGATGGCCAAACTGAAGTAGTCAATAAGAGTTTATGAAATCTTTTAAGGACCCTCATTGGAGAGCATGTTAGAGATTGGGATTCAAAACTTCATATTGTTGAATTTGCCTACAATAACTCGATGAACCGCACCACTGGCCTGAGTCCTGATGAGATTGTTTATGGATACAAGCCAAGGCAACCTTTAGATCTTATCCCTATGTGTCCTAGGTATAGAGTATCTGAGTCTGCATCCACATTTGTAGCACATGCGCATGACTTACATGAAGAAATTACAACCCGAATTGAACAAAATAATGCAAGCTACAAATTTCATGCATATCATAAAAAAGATATAAAATATTTGAGGTGGGTGATTCTATGATGGTTCATATTCGTCTGGAGTGGTTTCCAAAAGGAACCGTGAAGAAACTGCATGCCAAAAGTGCTGGACCTTTGAAAGTGATAAAGAAAATCAATGATAATGATTACGTTTTGGATAAGATTTTGAGACTTGTGTGATCCCACCTTGTGAGCATCCTAGCCTACCTCCACTTCCCAATTTAACCAAATCACCTAATGTGGATAAGATTGACATGATATTAAGTGATGAAATCATTTCCACAAAGGATAGCGGACAGAAAAGAGATCTAAATAAGTGAAGAGGTAAGCCCGAGACTAAGAATACTTGGCTAGATTGTGAGGAGCTACAGGAGATTGATCTAGATATGTTGGAGCTGCACGAGAGTTCACATGACGCCTACTCAACGGAGTCGAGATCTCTCGTACCCCGGGAGAATGATGGGGACATCAATGCATGGAAAGTTTATCATAGAAGGGGTCGTTGATCGACGGCCACGATTGAGTCATTATATTATTAGTTGTTGTGTGTTGTATGTGATTTAATTTAGTTTGTGAACTTTTCCTTAATGATATATTGTAATCCCAAGGGCATTTGTAAACTTTACCTTAATGTTATGTTGTAAGCTCAAGGGCATTTGTATCTTGTTTGTCTTGTCATGTGGTTGAGCCTATATATATGGCTCTGCCCTCCCCCTCCCTCCCCCCCCCCCCCCCCCCCCCCCCCCCCCCCCCGATAAGGTGATGATGATTATTTTTGAATGAATTCTGATTTCAGCCCTCTTCTCTTGTGTGAGAGTGAGTGTGAAGTGGTGAAGCCTTAGGAGAAGGCAAAAGAAGTACCCAACAGCCCATTAAGGTGAGTTCTTGGTCTTCCCCTTGTAACTCTTCTCATTTACCTTCCTCCCTAACCGCCGATCAACCCCTCTTTCCTTCCCTTTCTCGGTTAGCCACACATTCTCCTTCCACCGTCCACGGCAATCCCACCACTACCACCTCCCCATCCAAGTTTCCAATCTAAAATATCCCAAATCTGAAATTTTTACCTTTGGGATTTCAATTGAACCCGACTTGTCTCTTGGAACTCTTCATGTTAATTAATGGGAAGTTGACCCATTAATTGCATGTCCTTATTTTCATTTTAAAAAATAGTTAGAAATTGGAAAAGCCAACAACCCCTTCCCTTTCCCATGGTCTTCCCACTCTTGGAACTCTTTATATTAATTCATGGGAAGTTGACCCATTCATTGTCTTTCCTTTTTTTCATTTACAAAATTAGTTGGGAATTAGAAAAGTCACAACCCCTTCCCTTTCCTGATGGTTGGCCCACTCTTGGAACTATTCATGTTAATTAATGGGAAATTGGCCCATTAATTGCCAAAGTTCAATTTTCCCTCTCCCAAAACAACTTTTCCATTTTTCAATCTCACTCTCTCCAATTCCCCTAAGCCCCTCCACTCTAATTAAAGTTATATTGTAATCCCAAGGGCATTTGTGAACTTTTCCTTAACGTTATGTTGTATGCTCAAGGGCATTTGTGTCTTTTTTGTCTTGTCATGTGGTGGAGCCTATATATATGGCTCTTCCCCCGGTAAGGTGATGATGATTATTGTTGAATGAATTCTAATTTTAGCCCTCTTCTCTTGTCTGAGAGTGAGTGTGGAGTGGTGAAGCCTTAGGAGAAGCCAAATGAAGTACCCAAGAGCCCATTAAGGTGAGTTTTTGGTTTTCCCCTTGTAACTCTTCTCCTTTCCCTTCCTCCCTAACCGTCGATCAACCCCTATTCCCCTCCCTTTCTCTGCTAGCCACCCCTTCCCCTTCCACCGTCCATGGCAAGCCCACCACCACCACCTCCCCATCCCAGTTCCCAATCCAAAATTTCCCAAATATGAAATTTTTACCTTTGGGATTCCAATTGGACCCCACTTGTCTCTTGTAACTCTTCATCTTAATTAATGGGAAGTTGACCCATTAATTGCCTCTCCTTATTTTCATTTTCAAAATTAGTTAGAAATTTGAAAAGCTACAACCCCTTCCCTTCACCATGGTTTGTCCACTCTTGGAACTCTTTATATTAATTAATGGGAACTTGACCCATTAATTGCCTTTCTTTATTTTCATTTTCAAAATTAGTTGGGAATTGGAAAAGCGACAACCCCTTCCCTTTCCTGATGGTTGGTCTACTCTTGGAACTATTCATGTTAATTAATGGAAAATTGGCCCATTAATTGCGAAGTTCACTTTTCTCTCTCCAAAACTACTTTTCCATTTTTAAATCCCACTCTCCCATTCCCCTAAGCCCCTCCACTCTAATTAACCTCGCACCATTCCTAATCTCCCCCAAATAGCAAAAATTGTGGCCTCCCTCATTCCATATTTCAGCCAGCATCTCTTCTTCTCTACTGTGAAGCAAGACACAAGGAAGGCACTACGGAGCAAACCTTTCAAGATCAATAGGTCTAGACCAACCCCCATCTGAAGGAAGCATCACAGCGACGCAAATACCTATGTCTTTCTACTCTTACTTCATACATTTAAGTAGATATCTTTGAAGCCCAAATCACAGTGGCATCACTATTTCCATGTTAATTTAAATTCGCTAGCTTCTTAAATCATTTGAGTGCATGGTTCTGGTAGTGACTAATCTATGCTAAGTGTTGAATCTTTTTTGTCAAACACATGTTAGCAAAGTTATTGATTTGATTAATCCTTCTTGAATTCTAGAACTTTGGTTTTTGTTAATTGCTATTTCTGGAATGCCTTTCTTACTCGTTTGAACATTGTTTTATGCATTCCCATGATTAAT